TGCTATATTGGAATTATTGAAATTGAATTTATAAGTATTTTTACTTTTTATTATTTTGAATTTTTAATTGTTAATAAATATTTCTCACTCATGAGAAGAACAATGTAAAAGAGTCTTGTTATTGTTATTACTAATTATATTACTTTAAGTTCTAGAAAGCTTTACATTAGTATAAAATTCTCTTTCAAATCTCCTTTATTATTTTTTTATTCTCTTTCTCTTTGATCTTTACTCTCCCACATTATTATTTCTTTTTAAATAAATACAATTTCTGTAGAAATTGACATAGGTCTTAGATACTCCTCTTCTCTCTTAATATTTCTTTATCAGTTTATACTCTCTCCCAACCCAGGTTCTTGTTTATAAGCTAATTTAATGATTAGTGAACAAACTTGTAACAATATATTATAATTACTGTAAGAGGTTATTAGTTGAGTAATCACACTTATAAATATTTTTCTTTTTTATCTTATTATCCAAAAGCTTTAAGCAAAAGTTGTAGTGAATAAAATATATAAATAAATAATTCATATTCAATTTTAAAATATTTATTTTAATAATAATAATAATAATATTTACTTATAAAATTTTTTATACTTATCATATAGGATATAGAATGAAAATTGTAGTATAAATATATTTGAAAATCATAAAGATTATACATTTTTAGTTTAGTGCAAAAATTATTCAATAACAAAAGTTGATACTAGTAATATCTTTAAAGAAATAATATCAAGACATAAAAAGGACAATGCATTGAGAATCTTTATAATCTCAATTCACAATAATTTTTATTGTATGCTATAAATAAAGCAGATTCATCAAATTATAATTTTTGCTTATAAATATAATAAATATATATTATATTATAATATTTCCAGTTATTAGTTTAAAAAATCAAATGAAATATTAATAAAAGAAATGAAAAAAATAATGAAAGAAATAAAAGCAATATTTAAAAAACAAAAAAGAATAATAGAAAATCAAGGTGTTTTTATTAGAAATATAAAAAAGTCAAAATAGATTTGATAACTATTAAATTAGAACAACAAATATTTTAAATACATTTTTTTGTGCAATAAATTTTTTTATTTGTTTGTTTAATTATAATTATATTAATAAAATATTAATAATATAAAATATATTTATTAAATTGATATTAAAAATTAATTTTGAAAGCTTTTTAATATTGTACATATATTTGTGGAAGATGAATTAATTAATAAAATAATCATTTATAATTAATTAATTAAAATTAATGCTTATTGATTATAGATGTTCACCAATTCTAAACAAAAAATCAATTTTAATAATTATTAATTATATCTGATTGTAATTGATTATAATTAATTATTAATAATTAATGATAATTGATTATTGGATAATAATTAATTATAATCAAATATAAAAATTTTCTCATATAATTTATATATAATATGAAATCCATAAAATAATAATAATATTAAAGTTAAAATTTAAAATATTTAATACAAATATAAATTATTATATTTAAATAATTTTTAAAACAAAAAGTAATAACAAGAAAAAGAAAAAATATTTCTAAAATAATAAATAAAATTAAATAACTCAAATAAGAAATTGATTTATTAAAATATAATTTTATCTTTTTATGATTATATTATTTAATATATACTAATAATATATTATTTTTTTAAATATAAGAGAAAAAAATATTATATTTTTAATTTAAATATAATTATAATTTCAAAATTAGCAGATATTATTAATAAATATTTAAATAATACTAAAATAACTAATTAATTTTGGCTAATCAAATAAAAAATATCAAATAAATTTGTTATAAATATACTAATTTACAAAATGTTCTTATAAATAAATATAGTTAAATCTCTCTATAGTTACACCTATTTATAATTATACCTCTCTATAGTCACCTTGGTTTGCTTTCTTATTTATATATAAACATAGTAAAAAAAATTTCTCTATAATCACATTTCTTCTATAGTTATCAAATTTTGCTTTTCTGAGAGTGGTGATTATAAAGGAGTTTGATTGTAGTAAAATAGTATCAAAATAAGATTTATAACAAATTGAGTTAAAAAAATGCTTTAAAAGATCTTAATAATTATTAAAGTAAATAAATTCAAGAATAATTTATAATTATATTTAGAATATGTAAGCTATAAATAAAAATATCTATTTATTTTAGTATATATATTTTGAATAATTATTTGAAATATATAAATATTTGCAATTTTTCTTATTTAACATAATCTTAAAAATAAAGAAATTACATTTTTATAATTTAATACCAATAAAAAATGGAAAAATGATAAGCATACTCCAGAAAAATAATATATTGTAATAAGATGTCTGATTCTAATAATAAAAAAATGACTATTTATATATTTGAAGTTGAAAGAATCAATTAATAAGAATACTCATACAAATAAAATCTTCCAGTACACAAACTGATACATCTTAATGTGTTGACAAGTAATACGCTCTATGTAATCCGCAACTCATATTTCAGACTTAATAGCGAATATATTCTCATTACTATTAGCTGATTACTCTTATTCCAGGGGATATTTTGTTGATTATCGTGTTATTATCTGGAAGTTACCTGCCAATTTGCGATATGCCAATCGTGTATATGATAGAAGATACATTATATATGCGTTATCAGGTACGCTATATTCATGCTTTCCAATAATATTGCCAGGTGCAAGAAATAATTTATCAATTTATCATTACTCACAAATTGGCAAAGAGATATATTGCGATCCCAGTAGTAAAAAGTTCTCTTATTAATACGAGTTTTCTTTTTCAGACGCAGCAATTGTTTTTATGCAGTGTGGGTGAAAATATTGGCTTAATTAAAAAAAAGGCGAAGTGGAGAATAACATTATGGAAAAATTAAGCAAAAATATCATTTTTCAATTTATTCAACCTCATTATTTGTTGTGATTTCAAAAGTGACAAATATAACACAAAGAGGAATCAGATACTGCTTTTGATATCATGCTCATGAGAAGGATAAAAACCGTCACTCTTATGCTGTCTATCTTTTTCGTTTTCTTTTCCCTTCTTGCTTACCTGTTAAATGCATAGTGCAATCAATAGGACGTGACTAAATTGCAAACAAATGTTCTGACATACCTTGCTCATATCGTAAAAGCTCCATGTTCTTCACAATTTGCTTGCATTGTTGAACCCATTTATCACTGGCTTGGTGTCCAACCCACAGAACGCCATCTTCTTTTTCAACAGGATCAACATATGAAATCAACAATTTGTGCAATAATAGTTCTACATCACTATCTTTGTCATTAAGACATGCATACACACTCTTGGAGAGTCCATAAATGCTCAAATGTCCCATCCTCTCCTTGACATCTGTGCGTGTTTTCACCCCAATGTCTAACATATACTGGAACTCTATGCCTTCAGATGCCACACCAAGACTCATATAAATGCTAAGATAGGGTAATGGGAAAGGTATGCTGCTGTCAATTCCAATATAACGAGCTGTCTGTTTGAATATATTATCTGTCTTTTGTCGTTTAAAAACTGGCTCGCTTTCTTGTTGTTTATTCTTTAGCTGATAATCATCACCAGTTGGCTGGCCATCAGCCTCTCGATTTCTGACTTGAATATTGATGAATGATAGGTTATTCTCTGTAATCGGAGTTTCATCATCCTGGACCATGGCAATTGGAATGATCAGATCTGTTCCTTTTTGATTGCGCTTACACAATATTGCTGCACCACGAAAGAAGAAGTTAACGAGGTTCATCCTTGTGGGTGTAAAGCTAACATATACAAAGTGGTTGAACCTGATCTTACTATTGCGAAGCATTACAGAATTATTGCCGTTGGCTTGTTCATCAAGCACTGCGTTGAGCTTTTCAAAGGCCTGTGAACCAACCAGTGCATCAAGAAATTCTTGCACAGTAATAGGCTGAAGGTACATGTTCCAGCATTCATATTTCGATTGAATTGCCTTGTCAACTGCCAACAAACACAAGATTCTCCCCACAAGCTCACCTTGATCACCTGCATTTACAAC